TTTTCAAATTTATTACGGTGAGGTACCAAATGCATACTTTATTCTATGTTCCCTTTCTCACCCTGCAGCTTCGAAATTGTTTCTTCTTCCTTCTCCTCTCTGCGGGTTAGAAGCTTCGAGCTGTGGCTGTAGAATCAAGGAGAGAAGATGAATGCTTCGATCATCGGTGAGTTTCCTCTCTCTTCTTTCTTCCATTTAATTTGAGATTGAGATAAACTGGGTAATTTTTGAGTTGATGATGTAAATCATGTAATGTTTGTTTGAAGATCGTTGCAAGGAGATTTTCCGAAGGTGATAGAGGAGTACTTGGAACATGGGATTATGAAATGCATTGCCTTTAACCCTAGGGTACCCTTCTTGCTGGTAATTCCCCGTCTCTCTCTCTAAATTTCACATATTTTCGTTCTTTTTTTGATGATTTTTCGCTCTTCCCAGCTATAAAAACCAAACCAATTAGTTTAAATGCATATAATTAATTACAATATAAATATAATATTTTCACATTAATGTTAATATTTTAAAATAAATCCAAATATTCTAACAATCTGATTTCTTGATGCCCTCTGTTTTGGACTCTGCCCTTCTCTATTCTTCAGTTTTCTTCTTAGTTTCAAACAGGGGAGTGGTTTCATCTTGTTTCTAGTGTTTGGAATCATATGGAGCTTTTGAAGGAGCTTCAACCTTATTGACCTTATCCTTAGTTTGTGAATCCTCCTTCTCAATGATCTGCTTCTGCTGTCGTGGAGGTATCTCCCTGCTCCTGACCCTTCGGCTCTATTTTGGGTTTTTGTGGGGTTTGAAAAGCAGGCGAAGTTTCCTGGTCTTTTCCTGTAGTTTCTCCCTGTAGAAGCTGAGCAAAGGCAGCTGGTTTTGAAGGAGGTGCTGCTGCTTTAGGTGTAATCTTTGTTCCTTCTAGTTTACGACCAACGGCAGGCTGCGGTGGCTTGATGATCTGCTTTGGGATAATAATGGTTAGAATTCCTTCCCGAAACTTGCCATGCATTTTTTCCACAGAGCAATTTAGTGGAACATCGAAGGTCTGATTGAATCGACTCCATTTGTTGGTCTCAAGTGGCCTTTCTCCTTGAACTCTGACAGTACGCGTGGCGTCATAGTAAAAAACTCGAAGCTGCTCCTTGGAAAAATCTACAAGCCCAAACAATGAATTAGTGCTCATAAACCCATATATATCATATCCATGAATGCCAGAAAAGTTAGAACAAGCAAGATATGGGAATGATAAACAAACCAGGAAGATGAACATATAGAAGATGAGCTTCTTGTTCTTCCTTCATCTCTGCTTTTGGCAGGAAATCCTCATAATAAGAAGTAGAAGGTGCAGCAGATGATTTTCTCCCGGCCATTTTTGTTGTTTCAGGCGCCGTAACTGAAGAGGGTTCTTTTTCTTCAGGTGTAATCTTTGCTCCTTCTTGTTTACGACCAGCGGCAGGCTGCGGTGGCTTGATGATCTGTTTTGGGATAATGATGGTCAGAATTCCTTCCTGAAACTTGGCACGAATTTTTTCCACAGAGCAATTTAGTGGAACATTGAAGGTCCGATTGAATCGACTCCTTTTGTTGGTCTCGAGTGGCCTTTCTCCTTGAACTCTGACAGTACGCGTGGCGTCATAGTAAATAACTCGAACCTGCTCCTTAGAAAAATCTACAAACCCAAACAATGAATTGGTGCTCATATACCCATATATATCATCATATCCATGAATGCCAAAAAAGTTAGAACAAGCAAGATATGGGAATGATAAACAAACCAGGAATATGAACATATAGAAGATGAGCTTCTTGTTCTTCCTTC